CACTCGATGGTGATTGGCTCATTTTTTTTACCAACGGAGGCACGAAAGCTCAGCGTCTCCCCCGGCCTCCTCCTCCCCTTCTCTATCACCTAGCGGTTGTAATTACATCAGCAGATTCGGCACATTCGCGATAGAAAAGTGGCGCTTTCACGTTATGATATTACAACTGTGAAATTACAAACAAAAAATACACATTCTGAGACATGAACTGAAATGAATTGTGAATTTTATTAACATTAAATCGTCCTCCTCCCATTTTCACCTCAAAATTAGGGGGAAGCTGTGCCTCCCCTGACGAGCCGCCACTGGTTTTTACAAGGCTCTGTGAAAACGTTTCAGCTTTTATTTTCCTTTTTCGCCCTGAAGAAGATATCACAGATTCATCAAGTTTGTCGAAATGATCCATCCTCGATCACTTTTAATCAGCTTTGACGAAACTCCTCTCAGCTAGCATGTCTTTTCAGAGTGAAAGTAGCCTTGTCACCTGACCTGAATACAGCGCGCTGATTCGCTAAAATGGACTTATCAGCTTCTGTTCACAAACAACAAGGGCGCTTGTCGGCTTCTGCAGTAAAACGTGAACTTGCGATGCCTTGAAAGTGGACAAAACCGGCTTTTTTGTCAAAACGTGTTTAGGGTTCAGATCGCGCTATATGTGGAGAATAATGCACGGCAATCACCTCATTTTTTAAAGTGGCGGTTACCGGTTTTTGCAAATAAACTCTTCATATATTTTTAATTTATTTACTTATGTATTATTATTATTATTATTATTAGAGTAAGTATTGTTAGATCATTTACAAATTAAAGTCACAATAACACTGCCCATTAAACTGTAAGGATGACAGCTAAATTATGACTGTTTTTGGTACAAAAATTTTTCTCTCTGTAGACCGAGTTCGTGGCATCCGTTTACGTCTGCCGCTCCTGAACTCCAGGAATAACAGTAAATCTTCTCTGCGGGAGGATCCGGAGGCCGGACGAGGAACGGGTTTCCCCAGCAGCTCCCGTCCACAAAGCCACGAATCCCTGGCTCTGGGCGAGCTGCTGTCTCTGCCTGAACACGAGCTGCCCCGTCTGACCGCCGCAGCCTCTCCGTCCTCGCTGCTGCCTGGAGACCAGTGCAACCTCCTGAGCAGCGACCCCTCGTCCCCTCCTCCGGCCCCGCCGCATCCCGCCGCGCTGCCCCTGGGTCACTCCTCTCCCCGACCACAGCGGCTCAATCCGGACGCCTCCGTGTCCAACTGCAGCCTGACCAACAGCCGCTCGCGTGAGAGCTTTCACAGCATGCGCCGTGCATCTTCGGTGGACGATATTGAGGCCATGCGGTCCGAATGGGACCGGAAGCACCGTGCTCGACCCACCAGCAGCAGCACGGGTGAGAAAACTGACCAGGAATAATACTTTTATTGCACAAGGATGCATTCAGTTAATCAAAAGTGACACTAAAGACATTTAGAATGTTACAAAAGATTTCTGTTTCAAATAAATGCTGCTCTTTTGAACATTTTATTCATCTGTGAATCCTGAAAAATAAAATGTATCACAGTTTCCACAAAAATATTGGGCAGCACAACTGTTTTCAACATTGATAATAATCAGAAATATTTCTTGAGCAGCAAATCAGCATATTAGAATGATTTCTGAAGATCATGTGACGTTGAAGACTGGAGTAATGATGCTGAAAATTCAGCTTTGATCACAGCAATAAATTACAGTTTACAATATATTGACATAGAAAACAGCTAATTTAAATTGCAATAATATTTCACATTTTTACTGTATTTTGATCAAATAAGTGACGCCTTGGTGAGGAAGACAAAATCAAAAACTATTAAACAATAGTTTCAGTCAAAAAGTTGAAATAAAATATTTTAAAAAACTTACATAAAAATTTAAAATGTTGCATTGAAATGAAATGTTTGAATTACTAAAATGAAATAAATATAAATTAAAGCTAACAGAAATTTTTAAACAAAAACTATTAAATTTGTCAAAAGCACAACATTTCTTAGACTAAAATTAAAATGACAACTAAAAATCTAAAAATTAAAGCTAATTCATAATAATAAGATATGATATGATATGATAGGATATATAAGAGACTTCTTTCAAAAACGGTACTATAGATTCCAAACGGTACTCTAGATATGATTTGGTAATAAATACTGTAAATGTCAAAAGCATTTCAGACTAAAAAGAAGATTCTCAGCGACCTAAAGCAAAATCTGTTTCTTGTCGCAGGTGCCATGAACAACAAATCCAGCATCCTGAACTCTACCTCTGATTCGGATCTGATGCGTTACCGCGCCATCAGTAAAATCCCACAGATCACGCTCAACTTTGTGGACTTCAAACCGGACCCTCTCCTCGCCCTCCCGGCCGGAGAAATGGACATCATCGCACCCTGCAAACTCATCGACCGCACACACAACGTCACCGAGAAAGTCACTCAGGTAAGATGCTTCTGCCCTTCAGCCTTGCGTTGAGTTCAAGAAAGCGTTTGTATAGGATTGAATTGAACATGTTGGGCTAGACAGACAATCCAGATTCATAGTGATGCTTTTGGTGTTTTTTGTTTTGGGATTGAGACAGATTGACCTGTTCGTCCTTCTGTTCTAAACGACACGATTCACACTTTAACGTCTCTAATGGCGAGAAAAGCATCACCGTGAGATTTTGGCACCCCCAGATAAAGCGCCTTTGCTCAAGGACGGTTTTTGAAGGAAGCTGTTGATGTCGGTCTGATGTAATGTGCTTTATCTGGCAAACCTTAACTCCCTAAACTGCTGTTTGTGAAGATGAAGTGTTTGAATGCAGGAAGTTAAAGAGACGTGACAGTAAAGTTTTGCTAAAGTGACACTGACTGACTTTGACAACCTGCACTCTTAAAAATAAATGTTTCAGAAGGAATATTGCACTCAAAAATGTCACACTCATGAACCATTATGGTTATTTGAACCATTACAAAATGAGATGCTAGGCAAGATGTTTACACAGATCTTTTCAATGCATTGAAATCTAGTTGAATTCAAACCATCAGAATCATCATGTGTAATAACAGTACTTCACATATCTTCTGAAGTCATTGAAAGTTTTGTGTATCTCATTTGCCTTCACGCAGTTTATTCATACATGCTGCATCACCCGGTTTGACGTCAATGATGCCAAACACAATTAATTCACATACAGGAGAACGTAATGGACGTCTGTTGCAATGCTTTTCAACCTTTTTGACTCCATTGTCCACAACAACATTGAAATTATTTTTTAATCAGTTTTAATTTATGGACATGGTTTCTGTAAATTAAAATAAAATAAAATTAATTAATTTAAAATATATTAAATTAATTATAAAAACAAATACGTTAACAGCAGTAATAATAATAAAAAGTATTATTTATTTATAAGTATTCATTATTATTATTATTATTATTATTAGATTTCAGGGTTCCTGAAGTTTTTTTTCTTCTCACAATTTCCACTTGATTTTTTTTTTTTTTTTTTAAAGTATATATAATCATTATTAAATAAATGCGCATGCTATGTAAAATATTTTATTAATCTACTTGATTTTTCTAGATATAGCCATCACACTTTTAAAATTAGTCTTCTTTACAAATCCAGGTTTTCCAAGACTGATTCTTCAAAGAAAACTTCATTTAAAACTTCACTGAATTCAATCAATAATAAAAAGTACATAATAAAAGTCATCATGAGGCCCCATGGTTGAGAAGCACTGTTCTAGAGCATTTTTAAGAGTGTAGGAAAAGCTAGTTTCCAAATAATGTTGTGGAAGCTGTCGTCTAGAATCAGTTGAATTGACTTTCCAAAATCAATTAGCTTAATTCAAGAAAAAACAGCAGAATGAGTTTCTGTGTGGACTGTTTAAAACTAAGAGTTGCATTAATGCATTTACATTTGCATTTATGCGTTTGGCAGGTGGTTTTATTGGACTTTCATCCTCTGGGAATTTAGCCCATGACTTTGGTGTTACTAGCATCATGGACAGGAATACAATTTCTATTTTATCTGTAAAACCATTCTTACGTCATATCTGTGTAAATCTAGATTTGTTGTGCTGGTGTGTCATGAATGAGGCTAACATTAATGTCAGTAGCTTGAGTGTTTGACCTCTTGAGTGGCTTTGTCTTCAGCTCCTCAGGAGAGATCTTGCATTACTCTGAGAAGAGCTAAATCCTCATATTTTCTCCCAGACCGACATAACTGGGTTAATTTAATAGTGGTAGCTCATATGCTGATGCTCATCACTCTCGGATTAAATGAAAAAGAGGGATTGATGCTCCTTGATGAAATCATGACAGATGAACACATGCTTCACAGTCCCGCACACCTGCTGTCCTACATACAGGACCTGATCACTTGATGATTATCAGGTCATGTGACCATCAGTTTCATGTGAGTTGTCATATCAAGCATACTCAATAGATTTGGGTTTAATATAAGTTCAATTTTATTGATAGCATTGGAAACATAATGTTAAAAAGTACAGAAAATAATTTAATCTTTTGAATTCAATTTTTGTGCATAATTGTTTTCAAATACTTTTAAAAAGGTTAATACATTTTCAATGCAAACATATTATTTAAACTTCAAAGTGTCTAAATTGAGAAAATAGTTTACATATTTTAATTAAATTAAATTTTATTCTTTATTTATATAGTTTTTTTAAAACTATTTTTTATTAATTTGTTAATTAATTCTTCCATTCAAAATGTGCTCAGTTGAGAAAACAATTATAATAATGTTTTGTTAATTATTTTATAAAAAGTGTAAATATTTTGTAAATTCATTCTTTCATACAAAGTTATGTTGTTTAAACTGCAAAGTGTCTAAATTGAGAAAATAAAATTTTTAAATAAATTATTCTGAGACATGTTTTTGTTAGTTATTTGTTAACTAATTTTAATGATTTGTTAATAAATTCTACCACACATATGTTATTTTAATTTCATAGTGTCTAAACTAAGAAAACAATTTAAAATAATCTTAATTAATTAAAAAAAGCATATTTTTGTTAATTATTTTGTAATAAATAAATGAAAAATTTAAATGAATAATTTATTAATTGATTCTTCCATACAAAATAGTTTGAACTGCAAAATGCCTCAACTGAGAAAACAAATAAGTTTTTATGGATTTTCTTTGAAATAATAATAATAATAATAATTGTCTTTTTAACAGTGGGACTACTATTCTAAGTATTCATCCACTGATGTACTACCTGTGGGTGGAGTTTTCTATCGTATATCCTGTATGTTATATCTTGTCACAATATGTTTGAGAGTGTATTTTATCATTTATCATCTTGTTCTGAACCTGGATCTCTGGGTTTAGATCAGTGAGCATCAGATAGTGTTCGACTGTTATCATCCAAACTGCTCTTGTTTTTGGTGTTGACTGTTGTCCTGGTGATGCAGATGATGCGATTACTTTAATTAGAGTGATTAGATGAGCTCTAATCAGCATGTGTACGCGCTGTCAGATGTGTCAGTGAGGGTTCAGCGTGTCACTTCCTGTCCCGTTCACCACTGCGCACTAACATCTCTCAGATCAGTCATAATGCAGCTGTTTCTAATTTGTCCACAGCAGGATTTAAGGAAGAATTCACTATTGATTGCCACAGTGAGTCTTTGTGAGATGAGCTTGTGTGTGACCGTGCATGTGTGTGTGCGTTGTGCTTTGAGCTTTTGTCCGCTGGATCAGACTGTGTATTGAGTTTATCAACTACACTACCTGTCAGAAGTTTGGATGCACCTGCCAGCTGAGCATTATGACTAGACTGTAACTCGTTTCAATGCTTCTGAGTAATTAAAGACAAATGGAAGTCTGGGAATGATGTAATCATAACTTGTCCCAAATAAAATTACAAACATAACACAAATATATATATATATTTTATATTTGAGCTTCTTTTTGGTTTAGATCTTCCATCACTATCCACTACAAATCAAGGAAATTAATGTAAGAATTTTTTTTTTATTAGTTCATAATACATATTTCTGTGATTCTGCTGAACACGAGTTCCCTCAAGTGCACCCAAACTTGTGTCTGGCAGTGTTTGCGTTGAGACTGATCGCTGTCTAATCCAGCAAACTCACTCCACAGACTAAAAGCTTCAAAAACACAATACACACACCTGTTAATTTACGGAGGTTATCATATAACAGCGTAAAATAACATCTATACATGTGTGTTTGTGTGATTTCTTCTCTAACATGGCAGTCAAGGCTGATTTCTGCTGTATTATTGTGTTATTTAGGTTGATGTGTAAGAAATGACACTACTGCTCAAAAGTTTGGAATGATGCTGTTGAAAGAAGTCTCTTCTGCTCACCAAGGCTGCATTTATTTGATAAAAAAAATAAATAAGTAAAACTGATTTTTTTCCCTCAAATTTAAACTAGCTGTTTTCTATGTGAATATAAATGTAATTTATTCTAAGTTGTGTTTAGTTGTACTGCCCAATATTTTTGTGGATAACAGCTGTTATTTGTTTTATCAAATAAATGCAGCTTTGGTGAGTAGAAAAGACTTATTTCATAAACATTAAAAATCCTAATTATTCCAAACTTTTGACCAGTACTGTAGGTGGGTCATGGCTTTTATCTTTGACACCACAGCTGTGTGTTTAATTCATGTTGGGCTATATTTAGTGACACACACACACACACACACATACATTCACAAATCAAGAGCACACCACAGGGTGGATGTATTAAACCATATGCATGTTGCTGTCATACATGGAGAAACATTTCTGCTTTTCTGTCCTTAACCCACATAACACACACACACTCGCATTACCCCTTAATCTGTGTGTGATTGTGCAGGCTAAGCCAGAACATTGTCTTTATGTGTTCCCATAATCTATGCATTGTAGAGATGATCTCTCATCCGCTGGAACAAAAGTTCAGTGAGCCGCTGAATTCCTCCTGCTGTAGCTGCTGTACCGTCTGTCACCTGATGGGGGCAGTATATTACAGCTGTGTGAACTATGGGACTATATATTGGTGGAACTATGGTTACCTACACAATCTGTATATGATATCAATAAAAACAAATCGTCAGATTATATTTTTTAGGATGATTATTGCCGTTTCCATAGACATCAGCGTGTAGATCGTACGCTTCAGGGACCAGCCAAGACTGATCACACCGGTGTGATCGTACGCGTTAAAGGGTTAATCCATATTTATTAATTAGGAATTGATTGTTTGTAGAAATGTGGTCAGTATGACAGGCGTTTTGAGAGGAGTGAGCAAAGACACCAAAGGATGAATATCTGTTTATTTGGAAAAATATACACTAATCAGTCATTCACAATAAGACTACTAACATATATGAAAAAACTACACAAAAAAAACTTTTTAAAGATGTAAACAATTTAAGTAACAGTAGAATTGAATTGAATAATCCTTACCTATTTTAGTTGAATAATTGAACAATCCTTAATGAATTATTCAATTAAAATACGTAAGGATTATTCAATTCAGTTTGATGTAATTTTACTATTAATTAAATTGTGTACGTCTTAAAAAGTATTCTGTATTTACGCTAAATCAGTGTAATTATAGTTAACTAAAAAATAGTAGTAATAAAAAATAACTTGAAATAAAATATAGAAAAGGAAACAAAGTAAAAAACCATACAGTGTGTGTATATATATATATATATATACAGTGGGGCAAAAATGTATTTAGTCAGCCACCAATTGTGCAAGTTCTCCCACTTAAAAAGATGAGAGAGGCCTGTAATTTTCATCATAGGTATACCTCAACTATGAGAGACAAAATGA